CACAGCTTTGTAGCATATTTGGGTAGTGAAATGCTTTCCATTTTATTCTTTTCTCACAGTATTGCTTTGGTGATATGGGGTTTCTATGATTCCAGACAAATTTTATAATTATTTTTAATTTATTTCTTCAGTTTTTCATAGTTTTCCTTGGAAAAGCCTTTTACATCTTTGGTCAAATTTATCCCTAAATATTGGTGTGTGTGTGTGTGCATGTGTGTGTGGTTATTATAAATAGGATTACTTTCTTCAATTCTGCCTCAGTCCATTCAGTTTTGGTGTATTAAAAATGCTATAGGTTTTGTGTCTTGCAATTTTACTGAATTCATTTAATACTTCTAGAAGTTTATTTTCTGAATTTTTTTCTAGTTTTTATATTTATAGTTATGTCATATTCAAAAAAGGGACAATTTTACTTTTTATATTTTAATGTCTTTTATTTCATTCTCTTATTGGATTGTGTTAGCTAGGATTTCCAAAACTATATTGAAAAGGAGTCAAGAAAATGGATGATGGCCTATTCTTGTTCCAGTTTTTAGTTGGAAAGTATTCAGCTTTTCCCTATTTGGTATGATGTTAGCTATGTGTTTGTCATAGTTGGCTTTTATTGTGTTGAAAAATGTGTCTTTTATTTTGCTTGGTGATAGTCTTAACCATGATGGGATGTATTCTATCAAATGCTTTCTTTTGCATCAATCAATATGATCATATTTCTTCTGTTAGTATGATGCATTATATTTATTGTTTTGCACATGTTGAACAACCCTTGTATCTTTGGGATAAAGCCTACTTGGTTATAATGTATAATCCTTTTGCTGTGCTGTTGGGTTCCACTTGTTAGTATCTACTAAAAATATTTGCATCTGTAGTCATCAGGAATATTGGTCTGTAGTTTTCTTTTATTGTATCCTTGTCTGCTTTTGGTATCAAGATGATGGAGGTCTTATAAAATGAGTTTGGGAGAGTTCCTTCCATCCCATTGGATCTTTAAAAATAGTTTCAGGAGCATTGGAGCTAATTCTTTTAAAAGTTTTATAGAATTCAGAAATGTGGCTATTGGGATCAGGGATTTTTTTAATTGGGAGACTAATTATTAAGGACTGAATCTCATAACTTATTATTGGTCTCTTCAGGCTTTCTTTTTCTTTCTGGTACATTCTAGGTATATGGTATATTTTTGGACATTTGTCTATTTCTCTGGGCTTTCCAATTTTTTGGTATATAATCTCCTATAATATTATCTAGGGCTTCTTAAAATTTCTTTATTATCTGTTGTAATGTGATCATTTTCATTTCTGGTTTTATCTATCTGGGTCCTTTATCTTTCTTAGTCTAGCTAATCATTTGTTGGTTTTGTTTATCCTCTCAAAAAAAAACAGGTTTTTGTTTCATTGATATTGCTGTGTTGTTCTTTTATTCTCTATTTCATTTATTTCTGCTCTAATCTTTATTATTTCTTTTTTTTTCCCAGTTCCTTGAGATGCATCATTAGTTTTTTCCCCTTATCTTTCTATTTTTTTTTCTCTTGTGAGAACTAATTATTATTATTATTTTATTATTATTATTTTGGAGAAGTTTTTGTTACCGGGCGCATGCACTTGCCAGAAAGACTGATAGAGACAGAGAGACAGAAAGTGAAAAATCACCCCCCAGGGAGGATGGTCATGCTGCAATCCCTTCTCCTTCATTCTCCTCTCAGGATCTTGGACACACACACACACACTCGGCGTGAGTCCAGGACTTGAACCATAGTTGACTACATGGGAGTCCAGCCATTATGCCAACTGCTGGTCCCATGAGGACTAATTATTATAAAATTCCTACTTAGGACTGCTTTTAGTGTGTTCTAGAGATTCTAGAGAGTTGTGTTTTCATTTCAGACATTTCAAGTTTTTTTTTTCAATTTAATTCTTAATTTATTCAGCATTTTCTAAGTCATTCAGGAGTAAATTGCTTAGTTTCCTTGTATTTGTGTATTTTGAAGGCCCCTTCAGTTGTTAATTTCAAGTTTAATTCCATTGAGGTATAAAAAGATACCTTTAGTTTGTAAAGACTTGTTTTATGCCCTATTATGCGGTCAGTTTTAAAAAATTTCATGTGGGACTGAGAAAAATGTATATTTTCTAGTCGTTAAGTGAAGTGTCCTGTAAATGTCTGTCAGATCCATTTGGTTTATTATATATCATCTAGTTCCAGTGTCTCTCTGCTTATTTATTTTCAAGATGACCCGTTTAATGTTGACAGTGGGGTACTAAATCCCCAGAACTAGTGTGCTGTAGTAAAAATATCTTAAGAGGGAACCAACAGTTAGCGTAATGGATATGTCGCTAGACTCTCACGTAGTCGACCGTGGTTGGCGTCCCGGACCCGGTGGCTTAAAACTCACACCAGGTGCGTGTGCATGCGTGCCCACCCAAGATCCCGAGAGGAGAATGGAGGAGAAGGGATTGTGGCATGGCCATCCACCCTGGGGGGTGATTTCTCGCTTTCTGTCTCTATGTCTCTCTCTGTCTGTCTGGCGAGCGCACGCACCCTATAGTGAAAATCTCTCCAAAAAAAAAAAAAGTAAAAAAAAATATCTTAAGAGAAGTTTGGGGGATTAAGATTATGTGTTGTTATCAAGAAAATTCATGTAAGGGGAGATATTGTTCTCTGACTTGATTTAGTTTTGCAAAAAGCCCACCTACATGTTCAGCATATCCTTCACAAAGTCAGGAGAGCCTTGAGATATTGCTGTGAACCTTTCCTTGATACTTGAGCCTAGAGTCAGAGGCTGCCAATGGACAAATTTTCTATAGGATACAGGAGGCACAAAAACTACCTTATCAACAGTTGATTTCTTTTAAAAGTGATGTTCTTTATGGTGCCTTTTTATTTTAATCTTTTAAAACTGTACTAGTGTAAAATCCTTAGCATCCTGTTTGTGTATTTGTTGTCATCATCTTTCCTTTGTGCTACAGGTATTAACTGAGGTCCTACTATGTACCAGGGACTATGGTATGAACTGTTTGTGCAGTGATGAAATTGTCGTGCAGTGATGAAATTGTCGTGCAGTGACTCTCCACCCATGAAGACAGCAAAAGCTAAATACTGAGAATGAAATACCCAAAGTGATCACCTAAAAGTGATTAAGAGGGTCCTACTTTGAGGCTAGTGGTCAAGCAAGACTCTCTTTCAAGGCAACTAAGACCTGAGTGAGAAGGGAATGGTGAATGAGAAGACCTGGGAAGTAGTACTTTTCAGGAAAAGGAATGTGTAAAGTCTCTGAGGCAGGATTCTGTTAGGTATGCTGAGTCAGTGTGGCTGGAAAGTAGTGAGTGCTGGGGATGGTGGAAGCCAAAATTGCAAAGATTATCTGAGGTCGGTTCCTCAGGCTGTGACAAATTTAGTTACAGAGATTTTGAAGGGTGTCAATTTAAGCAAGTGAGATCTGGTTCTCTTAAATGCTGGGCACCTTGTCTCTGATCCCCATCTCTGACTGTATCTATTCCTCACCATCTGGGAAAGAGAATGGAGATTATTAAGTATAGAGTTTTGCCCATTACTCAGAATCATCATAAACACTTGGCTTCCTGGCTGTGGCTTCCTGTCTATGCTCCAAAAGTGATATCTCATGCTTTAGAGAAAAATAATTTCACAATAGATTGGAGATTTAAAGTTAAGACCTGAACATGTTAGCCTGTTAATTCAAAATATAGGAGAAAAGCTCCATGATATAGGTCTGGGGAATGATTTTTTTTAAATATGACTCCAAAAGCATAGGCAAGAAAATAAAAGAGACAAATAGGATTATATCAAACTAAAATTTGGATACACTAAAGGAAACAATCAAGAGTGAAGAGACAACTAATGGAATGGAAGAAAATATTTCCAAGCCATAGATCTTAAGATGTTAATATCCAATAAATGTATATTTTAAAAGTTAAATAACTTAAAGCAAATACACCCAATCCAGTTAAAAAAAAAATGAGCAAAGGATTTAAGTAGAAATTCCTCCAAAGAAGATGCATAAATGGCCAACAGATATCTAAATAAAATGCCCTGCCTCACTAATCCCTAGGGAGATTCAAATCAAAACCACAAATGAGATGTTTCTCCACATCGATTAGAATAGTTATTGTCATCAGAGATGTACAACAATTAAATATAAATAAGAAATAATAAAATTAAAATAAAAAGGAATACTTATTCTCAAAAAAAAAAAGGTAGCAAGTATTGGTGAGGAGGTGAAGAAATTGAGGCTCTTGAACACTATTTGTGAGAATATTAATTTTTACACCCCTAGGAAATTGTTATGCAAGTTTCTCAAGATATTAAGCATAGAACCACCATATGATGCAGCAGTTTGCTTATTGTCTACATACTCAAAAAAAAATCGATATAACAAAGTGATATCTGTGTTCCCGCACTCATTACTCACAATGGTCATGATATGAAATCCACCTAAATATCCATCAATGGATGAATGGACAAGAAAATGTGAAACGTCCATGGCGATGGAATATTATTCCATCTTAAAAAAAGGAAAATCCTGTCATTTGTAAAAACATGGATGAACCTGTTAAAGTGAAATAAGCCAGTCACAAAAATACAAATACTGCATGATCTCACATGTGGAATGTAAAAATGATGAATTCATAGAAGCAGAGAATAGAGTGGTGGTTACTAGGGGCTGTGAGTGGTTAGGGAAATGTTGGCCAAAGTTTACAACATTTCAGTTAGGAGGTAAGAAGTTCAGGAACTCTATTTTAATTTATTTTTTATTATTATTATTTTACCATGGTGACTGAGTTAATGAGAATATATTGTATACTTGAAAATCACTAAGAGAGAAAAATGTATATGTTCTCACCACAAAAAAAAACAATAAATATATACAAAATTATTTGTCAATTATATCTTAATAAAGCAGGTGGTTGGATGTGAAGAGTGAGCATAACAGGTTGGAACCCTGCTTCCATAGACTATATAATCAAATACTCTTTCGGCCTTCCCCCATGCAGTGGTATATGGATCATGGTTTGACCATATTCGTGACTGGATGACCATGAAAGGGAGGGAAAACTTCCTGATACTGAATTATGAAGAGATGAAACGGGTAACTATCATTTTTCTAGATAACGTTCACTTCCTATAACTTCCCTCTGTTCCTCTGTGTCTCCATTTCACATTCCCAGCAATGTTTAATCTCACGAAGGGTTATCAATTGTGAAATTAGCTGCCTAGTCTTCACTGCACTGCCTCTGGTTGACCATTCCCAAGCTCAATGTTCTTTTTTCATCTATTCTTCTCTATTTGCTCTTCCTACATCTAAGGGACCTTTCTCATGTATTGAGGCAGAGTTTGAGGGCTTATATCCACCCTAGTGATTGCAAAACTTTCTGTGGCTAGGACATGTGATATTTCTCTTAACCTGTTTTTAAGTAGGGGCTCAGGAAGAAGATGGGAGTACATAAAAATTGTTTAGTTCCAGAGATGTGTCCAAATGTCTGACATTTGAGCTCAACTGACAAAAATAAAGGAATGCATGAAACCAACCTTTAGATATTTCAGAGTCTAAGTTAGTACTCTAGTGAGTGACACAAGATGGACAGACAAGGCTGTCAGATAATGCTTAAAATCCTTAAGTATGTTTAGACCACTGGAATAAGAACTTGACCTTTAAACTTGGTACTTTAAAGAAAAGAGAAAATAACACAAACATGGACTTTTGTTTTTACCTGACAAATATTACTTCCTACTACCTTTGCCTGGTTACATCTCAGTCGAATCCTCCATGACCTCTGTATGAATCCTTCCGTTACCTAAAAGCCTTCTGTAACAAGATAAATAACATCAGGCACATTCTCCCATACATTCCTGTAATCCTTCCTTCTAATTACACAGTGAACTTTTATTTAATTACTTCTATAGTTGTGTGTCTTTTTTAATTTAATAAATTTTAAAAATATATTTAATCACTGTAAATCTTAATGGTGTGTAACATGGTTTTTCCCCAGCATGAATACAGTGCATAATTGTCAAGTCAAAGACATTACCATGTACATTATCATCAACAAATAGCAGTTCATTTTTGTGTCTATTAAATGTTTTGTTTGTTCTAGTTTTCTTTTTATTTAAATTTTGTTTGTTCATAGTTTTGTTTCTTATTGTTTGATAATAACAAGAGTTTACAGAATGATGAAAAATGTTAAAGCAATATAGGAATTTTTTTGAGAGGTTATTGCTGTAGGGCACATGTGCTTGCCAGTGAAACAAAGAGAGACCGAGAGACAGAAAGGGAGAAATTACCCTCCCCTCCCCTCCCCCACCCAGGAGGGATAGCCATGCCGCAATCCCATCTCCTCCATTCTCCTCTCAGGATCGTGGGATTGTACACTCATGCACCCAGCGTGAGTTTTAAGCCACTGGGTCTGGAACTCAAACTGTAGTCTACCACATGGGAGTCCAAAGACATAGCCATTACGCCAACTGCTGGTCCCATAAAGAATTATAGTTTTAAGAGAAAAGCAAATGACTCAAAGTAAAGCCTATCTGGTTAGAAGAATGACTTTTCTTGCCATAATCTGCCAGGATTATACACCAAATACTAATTATTGAAATAACATACAAAGAATATGTAAAATTATCTGTGTTATTTAAATGTTAGTTGTGGAAAACAGTATTATTTAATGGCAGAGTTAAGATTTGAAATCAATCTGTTAAATTTTTTCATCATTAATGAATTATTTCTTTAATTTTACTTATGATTTTAAAATTTGCTATAGGACATGTGCACTCATCAGAGACAGAGAGGGAAGGAAAGTGAGAAAGCAAGCCACAGGACTCGAACCATGGAGTTCACGTTATGTGGGAGTCCAGTGCCTTATTAACCATGCCATGTGCTGACACCTCTAATTTCTTAAATCTTTATCAAGATTACCTAGAACCTTCTTGTTTAATCCTGATCATTGCCTAGAAGTCATCATAAAGTCTAGTTAGTGACCCCAGATACTGTCTTTTAGATTTTTTTAAAAGAGGTATTTGCCTTAGGATGTGTGTGCTTGATGGAGAGAGAGAGAGACAGAGACAGTGAGAGGGAAAGTGAGAAATCACTCCCAAGGTGGGATTACCATGCCACAATCTCTTCTCTTCCACGGGATCTTGGGCATGCACGCACATGTACCCAGTGTGATTTTGAAGGCACCTTGTCCAAGACTCCAACGGTGGTTGGCCATGTGGGAGTCCAGTAACGGAACTGTTACACCATCTGCTGGTCCCAGGTTCTGTCTTTTACAATCAAGATGTCCTAAATTCATAGGTACTTGAAAATTCATGTGGATCATGGTATCTTTTATAGCCATTGTATTTTCATCTTTACCCTTTTCTCTTTCATCCTCTTCTTTTCATCCACTGAATAACTTCTCACTTCAGGATGCAGTTCCTCTCTCCTTCTTTCCACTCCTCCTCTTCCTCATTGTGCAGTTCCTTCCTTCTCATCTCCTCATTTTTGATATCTTTATATTTTATATGTTTTTTTTTCTTTTAGGACACAAGAAGTGGTGTAGAGAAAATCTGTCAATTCCTTGGAAAGAAGTTAGAACCAGAAGAAGTGAACTTAGTTCTCAAGTATAGCTCTTTCCAGGCTATGAAAAAAAACAAGATGTCCAATTATTCCCTCCTACATGGAAGATATTTAAATAGTAATACATTAATTGTGAGAAAAGGTAAAAAGAAATGTTCTGGATCAAAATCTATCAATACATGAAAGGCATCCTTGGATTTAGAACAGTCGAGATGAAGTGTTTACATTTATGAACTTAATTTATCATCATGCAGAGAACTTCCTGTGTACCCTTATTAGGAAGTCTCTATTTATGGTACTGGTATGTGCTTCAGGTATTGGGGAAACATGATTTGGGCTGGGATGGTCATCTGATACAAGGTCATTCAGATTCTCTCTCCTCAATTTGATATGAGGAAGCATCCATCGTACAAATGGTGACCAGGTTAATCAGGTTCTCTGCCAGACTTGCAAGAAACCACTCCTGTTGGTCTTTGATCCCAGATTCCCTGCATTCAGAAATGAATGCATGAGAAAATGATTTTTTGCTGTTGAAGTTACTAAGTAAGTGTGTGGCACTTTTTAATGGCAGTCCTAGAAGACTAAAACAGTAGGTTTTTTAAAATCAAGGAATAAAGAAAATAATAAGCAGAACACTACATCTGCTAAATTTGGAGGATTTGGAAAGGTAGGATTTAGAACTTTAGGTGAAGACATAGATAGATATATTGGTTTGTCTCATCTAGACGGATATTTAATAATGGGAAGTCATATAGAATTTACCCAGGTTCTTTCTGATACCTCTTTCTGGATTGCCAAAAGTCAGTGTGTTACGAAGGATACATGAGAAAAAGAACACTATAATAAAAATTGTTCTAATAGTAAAGATAATGATGAGCATGACAGTAACAATAAAGGTTAATAAAATACTGGTTACATATTAGACATTTTGCTATATAATTTGTATTTATATAAATTAAGAATATGAAGTTCATATTTATATTAAATATAATCAGCTTATATATAATTGTATATTATGTTATATTACATGTGAATTGAATATGCTTATATAATGTGTAAATATCAATGTAAATCATCTATAAAATAATAACTTAATTTTCTAATTAAAAGTATAATTTCTTTCTTTTTTTTTTTTTTTGAGAGAGATTTTTGCTGTTGGGCATGTGCACTTGCTGGAGAGATAAAGAAAGACAGAGAGACACAAAGTAGGAAATCATCCCCCAGAGGGGATGAACATGTCACAGTCCCTTCTCCTCTTGAGATTTTGAGCATACATGCACCCGTGCCAGTGTGAGTTTCAAGCCCCTGGGTCTGGGACTCTAACTACAGTTAACTATGTGAGAGTCCAACCATGTAACCATTATGCCATCTGCTGGTTCCAAGATTATGATTTCTGTGTCACAAGGTTTGCAATCAAGTTCACATTCATTATTTATTCATTTACTTTTACTGTTTGAAAAAAATAGATTGTTTGCTAAAAGGTTGGACTCTGTAATTTACTCATCCAAGTAAACAGCACATGAGACAAAAACAAAAACAAAAACAAAAAAAGATTGCAAAATTTCTACAATTTTATTCATGGTGAAAATCTTAAATTATCATGATTTTATATCTTCTGACATTACCATGGCAAAGTAAAAAATACTGTACTTTTTTTCTTCTATTATCATTTTTAATACTCAATCACTGCATGTCATTATATCATACAAGATGAATTTTCCCAGAATAAATACACTGTATATTAGTTCCATCAAAGATATTACCATATACCTTATCATTAACAGATACTTTTCTATTTTCGTGTCCCTTTAATGTTTTGTCTTTTGCCCCTTGATTCCCTCCTTTCATCCTCCCCTACTTCCTTTCTCCCACACTGTCTCTAGTATCCACAATTACTCTCCATGCTTTTATACCTTCCAATCTCTCAGTTTCTGCCATACAGTGCAGACATTTGGTGTATATTAAGTGAGGACAAACAATGCCTCTTTTTCATAGTCTGTCATGCTTTGCTTGGCATTAAATCTTCCACATTCACCCACTTTCTGTCAAATGCCAGGATCTCATTGTTTTATTTTTTTTAACTTTTTTTAATGGCTGAGTGGGATTTCATAGTGTTTATATGCCACACATTTTCAATCCATTCATCTGTGCATGGACATTAAGGTTGGTTCCACGTCTTAGCAGTTGTGAATAATACTGCAATTAACATGAACGTGCAAATATTCTTCCAACTGAGTGTTTTCCTATCCTTTGAGTAAATACCCAGGAGTGGATTTACTGGATCATATTCTATTTGTTGGTTTTTGAAGACACTCCGTATCATTCTCCACAGTGGCTGTACTAATTTACATTTCTGCCAACAGTGTAGAGAGAGTTCCCTTTTCACCAGAGCCTCACCAGCTTATCATTCTTTATTTTTCTAATCTTAGCCATTGTGATTGGGGTTAAGTGGCACCTCATTGTGCTTTTGATTTGCCTCTTCCATATGATAAGGGATGTTAAGTATTTTTTCATATGCTTCTTGACTGTTCATTTGTCTTCCTTGGAGAGTTGTCTGTTCAACCCATTTGCCCATCTTTTAATTAAATTGATCTTTTTGGGGGGTAGGGGCAAGTTGCTTGAGTTTCTTATATATTCTGGTTATCAATGCCTATCTGAGGCAGTTTGCACATATATTCTCCCATTCTGAGGGTTGTTGATTCACTCTGATTATTATTTCTTCTGCTATGCAAAAACTTTTTAACCTGATATAATATCACTTGTCTATTTTTGTAATTATTGCCTGTGCCTTGGGGGTCTTACATAAGAAATCTTTGCCTATTCTGATGTATCCAAGAGTGTCCCCTGTGTTATCCACTAGAAGTTACATAGTTTGAGGTGTTAGGTTTAGATCTTTGATCCATTTTTGAGTTGATTTATGTTAATGGTGTGAGAGAGGGGTCCAGTTTCATCTTTCTGCAGGTGAATACCCAGTTTTTCCAGTACCATTTGCTAAAGAGATTGTCTTTTCTCCACTGGATTTTCTGGTCCCCTTTTGTCAATAATCAGTTGACTGTATGTTTTGGGGTTTATTTTGGGGGTTCTCTATTCTATTCTATTGACCTACATGTCTGTTTTTGTGCCAATACCATGCCCTTTTGATTATCACAGCTTTGTAATATAATTTGGGGTCAGAGAATGAGATATTCCCTACTCCAGTCTTCTTGGGCAGTATTGCTATGGCAATACAGGATCTTTTTATTAAGGCTTTTAACTTATTGCACATGCACTTGCTGGAGAGAGAGAGAGAGAGAGAGTGAGAGGGAAAGTAAGAAATCACCCCCAAGGGCAAGGGTGGCCACACCACAATCTTTTCTTCTCTATTCTTCTCCTGGAACTTAGGGCACTCATCACATGCATCTGGTGTGAATTTCAAGCCACCAAGCCCAGGACTTCAATCGTGGTCAGCCATATGGGAGTCCAGCGATATAACTACTATGCCATCTGCTGGCAATACAGAGTCTTTTATGGCTCCAGACAAATTCTGTTGTTCCTTTTCTGTGATGAATATCTGTGGTAATTTGATTTGGTTTCAACTAAAATGTAGATTAATTTGTATATAATTGACATTTTGATTATATTAATTTTTCCAATCCAGAAGCATCATAATGAATGGAGAAAAGTTTAAAGATTTTCACTAAAAATTGGAACAAGATAAGACTGCCTAGTTTTTTCACTCCTTTTCAATATAGTACTGGGAGTCCTAGTCAAAGTAATCAGACAAAGATAATACAATAAAAGGCACTCAAATAGGGAAAGTAGAGGTAAAATTATCTTCTTCTGTCTACAGAGAACACCCAAAAGAATCCACAAAAAAGTCTGCTGAAAGTGATAAGTGAATACAGAAGAGTGGCAGGATACAAAATCAACATACAAAAATATGTTGTTTTTCTATATGCCAACAATGAGCAGACTGAGGTAGAACTAAAGGAAGAAATTCTATTTACAATAGCCAGAAAAAGTGTAAGATACCTAGGAGTACACAGTAATTACTGTGAACCAACAACACTCAGAATGGGAGAATATTTTTGTAAACTATGCCTCAGGTGAGGGACTGATAACCAGAATACACGGGGAACTCAAGTGGCTTACTTGGGGGGGGGGGGGGGCTTATACAAAAAAACTAATAAAAAGATAGGAAAATGAACTGAACAAAAAACTCTCTAAAGAAGACATACAAACATCAAAAAGCAAATGAAGAAAATGCTCAACCTCCCTCATCATAAGGCAGATGCAGATTGAAACCACAGTGAGATACCACCTAACCCCTGTCAGAATGGCAAAGATTATACATACAAAAAATGGTAAGTGTTGGCAGGGTTGTGGTGAAAGAGGAACTCTCCTACACTGTTGGTTGGAATGTAAATTGGTCCAGCCACTGTGGAAAACATATGGAGGTTCCTCAAAGGCCTACAAATAGAACTACCATATGTTCCAGCAATTCCATTCCTAGGTATATACCCAAAGGACAGGAGAATGCTCAGTTAGAAAATTTCATGCTCATCAATGTTTATTGCGGCTTTATTCAGGATTCCTAAGACATAGAACCAACCCAAATGTCCACCAACACATGAATAGATTGAAAAAGTGTGGCACATATACTCTATAGAATACTATTCACCCTTAAAAAAACAACAAGACTCTGGCATTTGATAGAAAGTGGTAAAATCTGGAGGATTTATTGGTGGGTGAAGCAAGCCAGGCTATGAAAGAAAGATATTATATGTCTCCACTTTATACATACCAACTGCCCACACTCTATGGTAGATACTGAAAGACTGGAGGATATAAAAGTATTGAAAATAGTTATGGACACTGGAGATAGTGTGGAAGGAGGGTGGGAGAGGAAAAGAGTATAGGGAAGGAAATTATGGGGGAAAATAAAGAGGCAAGACATTTGTGGGACACAGTAATGGTTTATTACCTGTTGATGATAACGTGTATACTATTCTCAACTGAGCTGGTCTGAGGTGTATTTCATCTTGGGTAAATTCTCTTTGCAAGCTAAATGATGTATAGCAATCATATATATGTGTGTGTGTGTGTGTGTGTGTGTGTGTGTGTGTGTGTGTGTGTGTATGGTAAATGAAACAAAGATTAAAAAAAAAAAGATTCCTGGAAAAATCCTAACCAAAGAAGTCAAAGACCTTTACAAGGAAAACTATGAAAAACTAAAAAAAGAAATTGAAAATGACTCAAAGGGTTGAAAGATATCACTTTCATCATTTTAAAACTGTAATATCTTCCAGGTTTTTTGCTCATCTATAAAATATAGATATTAGTACACACTCTTCATTCTATTATTCATCTTTTCAACAAATATTTAAGTACATACCATAAGTTAGTTACTCTTTGAAATACTGTTTTCAGTATTTAAAAAGAAAGTGTGATGACTTTATAAAATATATGAGTGGCCGGGCACATGTGCGTGCAACCCCAAGATCCCTAGAGGAGAATGGAGGAGAAGAGATTGCGGCATGGCCATCACCTCTGGGGGGTAATTTTTTGTTTTCTGTCACTCTGTCTCTCTCTGGCTTTCTGGCAAGCGTACATACTCTATAGCAAAAAACTCTCAAAAAATCTATGGTTGGTATGCATGTTATACACATCCCCAAGACAGGAAATGCATAGAACATACTGCATTTGATAAGTGTTACGTAGTGAAATGGTATAGTAAGGATTAGAACTTTTGGTTTTAAACTGGGAGATGAGAGAACCTCTCTGAGAGGGTTGGATTGAAGTGAAGGTTTGAAAGCATCAAAAGGAAAAGACATGGGTGTGTCTGAAAGGACAGCATCACAAGAAACAGGGGCTTGAAATGCAAGTGGTCTGAACAGTGGGGGTATGTAGCATGCTGGAGGAAGAACCTAAAATCCAATATACTGAAGTAGACCCAATGAGTGGATAGTCGTAGATGGAGTTGGAGAGTCAATAGGGGGCCGAATGAGCTGCAGCCATGTAGGGTACCACTTACTAAGTGAACTTATACTAAGTGGACCCCAAAGTCCTTGCAGAATTTGAGCAAGAATGTGGCATGATTTGGCTTAGCTTGTCAAGAGGCCAAGATAGCCACCATGAATAATTTAAAAGAAAACGGGTCAAAAGAAGAGAGAGCAGTTACAAATCTATTATAATACCCAGGTGAGAGAGAATGTTTGCTTGGCACAGAGGTAGTAGTAGAGGTGGTGAGGAGTGGCTAGATCCTGGGCATAGGAGATACAGATGGCATTATTGCCAGTGAATTGTATCCAGCAAGGGTTAGAAGAGACGGTAAAACATAGTTTCCGGGCAGGTGGCGGTGTGAATGGATAGCATTCCCTGGGAGTACAAGGGTCCACCAGAGAGCCGCTGGTCATTCTGCTATATTTAGACTATTATGTCCATGTCATAGGGACGACAGGGACAGACCAATGAGGAGATGTGTTGGGGTCTTAAGACTTATCCCTGGTCTGATCTGAGTCTGTTTCATCTTTTCCAGGTATATGTGAGGACTGGAAAAATCACTTCACAGTAGCCCAAGCTGAAGCCTTTGACAAAATATTCCAAGAGAAAATGGCAAATTTGCCTCAAGAGCTGTTTCTGTGGGATTAATGTCTAGAAAATTCTGGATCTTACATGAATACTGATAACGCTTTCCTCTGTCTTGTGCAAATGCGCAACTGGGGTGTCATTACATAAAACCTATTATTTTACCCTGGAACTTGGAATGACCAATCTTTGCATCTTTGACTACTTGCCTGTTAAAAATTACCAGAGTACACCTCGCTTACTATAAATATTTCTAATGTTTTAAATATATTAAGTGCTACAGAAATAACATATATATATACTCGTTCTGTCAAAGTATTTACACAAATCAGAAATAAAATTACTGAATTAGTTAAGGCTCATCATTTTTCTACCATCCATATCTGCATTATTTATTATTTTTATGATGTTGAGGAGTATGGTTCCCCAACTTTATTTTATTTTCTTACTCTGTGGCATTAAACCATAGACAACAAATGTTTTTGGGGTTTTTTTGAGAGGTTTTTGTTATAGAGCGCGTGTGCTCGCCAGAAATACAGAGACAGAGAGACAGAAAGCAAGAAATCACCCCCTCAGGGGGGTGGCCATGCTGCAATCCCTTCTCCTCTATTCTCCTCTCGGGTTCTTGGGTATGCACACACACGCGCACCTGGTGTGAGTTTAATGGAGACTTTTTTTTTTTTAAGATTTTTTTTTTACTATAGGACACTGCTCTCACTAGAGAGAGACAGAGAGGGAGAGAGAAGGAAATCAAATAACAACCCCCAGGAGGGATGGCCATACTGCAATCTATCTCCTTCATTTCCCTCTCTGGGTTTTGGGCAAACATGCACACCTATCACTGGATCTGGGATTCAAACCGTGATTGGCCATGTGAGACTAGCACCTTAACCACCATGCCATCCGCTGATCCTGCTGACCCCAATGATTTAAAAAAAAAAAAAAAAAAAAGATTATATATGTGAGTGTGTGCATGAATGTGTGTGTAAATTTATTGTATAGATAGGAATGATTTTGACTTTTTCCTAGCCATTACATATATCTATCATCAGTCCAATTTAGTGAGCTAGAATGAAGGCTACTGTCTGAATGATCAATGAGGGCAAAGTTCATTGAAATATCAGATCAAAATAAGTATAAATTTTCAAAATACCAGTTCTAATTTATTGAACTGTTTGCAATTATGGTTACAATATGATATCAAGATTAATCTTTCAGAACCAGCAGTTAGCGTAATGGCTATGTCGCTGGACTCCCACATAGTCGACCACGGTTCGCGTCCTGGACCCGGTGGCATAAACTCACGCTGGGCACGTGTGCGTGCATGCCCAAGATCCTAAGAGGAGAATGGAGGAGAAGGGATTGCGGCGTGGCCATCCTCCCTGGGGAGTGATTTCTCACTTTCTGTCTCTCTGTCTCTCTCTCTCTGTCTGTTTGGCGAGCGCACGTGCCCTATAGCAAAAACCTCTCAAAAAAAAAAAAGATTAATCTTTCAAAAAGCAGCAATTTATGGAAATTAGTTTAGTTAAGAGAAATACCTGACATGGAAGGCAAAGAGTAGGTTCCAGAACATTTTGTATATATTTATGGTCTATGATCTGAATTTGCTTTCTTTTTTAAAAAAGAATTATTAATTTAATTTATTATTATTATGATTTCAAATTTTGCCTTAAGACATATATGCTCAAGGAAAAGTGAGACAGTAACCAGCCAGGACTGGGATTAGAACTGTGGTTGGTTATGTGGGAGTCCAGTGTCTTAACCACCATGCCATCTGTTGGCCCCCAAATTTTCTTAAATAACAAATAGTTCTCATTCTGGAGCAATGTGGGAAGCTGCACAGCAGCGAGTCTGCCAAGGTTTCTCAGAGAGCAAACAATTACCATGATTGGTTCCCTTCCAAAAACCTGACCTTCGAAACCTTGCTCTGATTGGCCACTAGAATCCCTCAAATTTGCATATCTGGCACCTCATGATTGGTCCAAAAGCAACCAATCAC